TGGCTTTCCACTAGCGCTTTAATCGAGAGGTCCTCACGCTGCTCTCGAATGAGCGTCTCTGTATCAACCCTCGACAGCTTACTCCTACTTTCCGCTACAGGCGAGAGCGTTCCAGCCCTCTCGCTCTAACTAAATGGCGCCATGTCGTCTCCCTCTACGCATACCGCGCCGGTCGCTTCGGCGACGGGCCGCTCACGTGACTGCTCACATGACTCACGCGGGAAATTTCCTCTCTGAGGTTCCGTCGACCCGCCCACAAGGTCACTTGAGAGTTCACCGCATTGAGCAAGATCAAGCTTCTGCGAAAGCTTCCGCGCTTACGATCGCGTGAGGGCCATGTACGCTAAGTTGGGGAAGAACGATTTACCATGCTCTTTGAGAAGCTGCTCTGAGTTGTTGGAGAAAAGATAAGGAAAACGATCGGGAAGCGCGGCAGACACAGCCGCTTCGGTGCGAAGCTTACCGAACGGGCCTTCAATGACAACCGTGGCGATTGGGAAGCAAGCACTCTGCTTTTTGGCGACTTGCCTGATCCACGCGCATTCTCCTGTAAATTCATCCGGAGACACCAATGAAGGATGGACAACATCCATGGTTGCCGCTGAGTCACGAAGTGCTCGACACGCTTTCCCATTCACACTAATTTCTTGGATATGCGGCTCTAACAACCACATGTTCTTTTCCGATTCTCGGATTGTTGCAAAAGCAAACTTTTGCTTACAGGTTATCGCGATGTGCCCTTCCTTTTTGCAGTTGTAGCAGATTAGTGGCTTCCTTGATTCAAACGCCCGTGTGGTATCAGTGCGTTGTTTAGGAACCTGACTCAATTTCTCCGCTTCTGTTTGCCCTTCCCATACAGTGTCCTTCGTAAGAGACGGGTCCTTCTTGAAATTACGGTGCGGGGCGGGTTTCCGTTGATCAGGTTTCCTTGAAAAGCCCTCTTTCCTTTCATCCTTTTCAACGCGCACTGCCCTGCTATGCAACTTTCGGCGAGTATAATACTCCTCAGCTAACTCTGCTGCCTTGTTTAGCTGTACTTCACCAAGTCTGTCCTGCAGCCAAAGTTTGACATCCTCCTCGATGCAGCGGTAGAATTTCTCCAATGCAACGCATTCCACCACTTCATCGCGGTCGTCATGAACACCTTCGCCCTTGAGCCATTCAATTAAATCGACTTTAAGACGAAACGCGAAGTCAATGTGTGACTCATTCCCCCTTTTAGCATACCGGAACTTTTGCCTGAAAGCCTCAGGTGACAACTTATAACGTCTCAAGAGCACTTCCTTCATCTCGTCATAGCTCTCAAACGCTTACCTCGCCAAGCAAGTTATCGCGTCGAACACTTCGCCGGGAAGAAGAGCTAACAGGTTCCGCGCCCAAACAGACCGCTCCAAAGCGTTTCGCTCACAGACGTGTTCAAACTTGACGAGATACTTTGCCATGTCCTCGCCTACTACGAACGGTGGCAATTGGTCCCGTATTCTATAACCGCTGACCTGAATCGTCGGAGAAGCTACGCTAGGCGCCTGCGAACACTGTAGGATTGCCAATTCTATTCGTTTCAACTCGAGGCGCTCCTGTCTCTCGGCCTCCTCACGGCCTTCACGCCTTTCAGCTTCCTCGCGGCGTGCTTTGATATCCACCCAGGCCTCATCGACGTCCTCAGCCGACACTCCCTTATCCTTCATGATCTCAAGGATCACTTGCTTTCGTTTCGCACGGCCCAAAGTAATGCCGAGTTCCTCACAAATTTCGATGAGTTCCTTCACTTTAAGGTTCTCCATCGTCCACACTAGCCTCTTGCTGTTTGCCCCTGTTAACAGTTTACTTGCCGTACCCACTATAAGTCAACTAGCAAGACGCGCAAGCAATTTTTCACACACCCGTGTTTACCCCATCCGCATTGACTTTGGTTTCAAAGCACTTCAACTTTGCTTGAAACGATCAAAGCTCACTTCAATGCTTCACACAGCCCTTCTCTAAACTACTACAACCTGAGCTAGAGTAGTCTGGTGAACTGAGGGGAAAACATCAGGCACTCACCGCATCGATGTCGCTGACGCCGGCCGATCCCGCAGCTGCCAACCACTGTTGCGACGCGCCCCTCCGACGACGTTACGAAGGGTGCTACGAATCTCACCGCTGCAACCACTGTTTCGAAAGACGGCGACGCCAACACGGACCCGAAGGCGCCACTGCTTCGAATTCCACCGGGAAGGTCACCAGCCGTTTGGTAGCGTAGGTTTCTCAGCTCACGACTGCTTCTGCGCAGAGCTGATAGACGAGCGGACGAGACGACGGTGCGTTAAACAAGGCTTATGCACAGCATATATACAGAGGCGTTACGAATTCGGCACTGGGGCCGACAGAGACTCGAAGAGCCGAGCTCTCCTCTCTAACACATAGGTCTGCTCTCAAATAGGACTGCTGTCAAAGGGGTCTCCTCTCGACGCGCCGCAGGGCTTCTTTTATATGCACCGAGTCTAACCCAAATGTCCAACCAGAAGCGCCGCTGGTCGTTAGGTTAGAATCCTCCAATGGGGTCGCCGCTGGGCCGCGTCATTCTTTCACATCGAATCTGGAGAGGCTGCGCTGCAGGTGGCTGCACCCAAGGACGAGTGACGTCGCCAGGCATTGCGTCACCCCCCCCCAGACAGGAAGACGCCGGTTGTTTACTCGACGGGCTCGCTGGCTGCGCTGACTCACTGCACGTGCGCGCCAGAAAGGCGCCGTCGCCTGTTGACGCCGTTGAGTTGTTCGCGTCAGGCGGACTGGCCTTGACACAGATTGCCTTTTCCAGAGGCACGGGCGTTTGCTGCGGACTCGCAGGCATAACATCTTCGAGATAGCGAGCGTGCGGCGAATAACTTAGAGACCATGCGACTCTTGCTTTAGATCAAAAACTTGTATGTACCATTCGCACGAACGCACGCACGCGCGCACGCGGGCGTGTGTGTGTGTGTGTGTGTGTGTGTGTGTGTGTCTGTGTGTGTGTGTGTGTGTGTGTGTGTGTGTGTGCCATCTGTGAGACATTGTGAAAAACGTGTCGCGACTACTGGTCACAATTCCCAGTATTGCCCATCAATGAGCACCTGCTGGACATTCATGTCAAGTAGTGTCCCACAACTAACGAGCTATGAAGTTTCACGCAGCTGTTATAAAAGTGCTGTTAAATAGAGGGAAAACCTGTACCATTACTATAGATACATCGCGCTTGCACGCGTACGCGTTTGAGTCTGCGTGCGTGCGTGCGTGCGTGCGTGCGCGCGTGCGTGTGTGTGTGTGTGTGTGTGTGTGTGTGTGTGTGTGTGTGTGTGTGTGTGTGTAACAAAACATAATATTAAGCTTGCACTTCGCGGTTGACGGGCACACTAGGGCACGGTTTTTGCTTTCACTTTCAACTCCTAATGGCGATGCCTAAGCGCCCCCTATTTTTACCCCGTCTCTTATCTGGATCCTCCTCACAAACAAAAAAAAACATGTTCCAGCTTCACGCGGTATCCCTTCGACTAGTGGTCATTCCCTGCGGCTTCAGCGCAAAACCACCTTGTGACATCTCTCGTCATTTGGTCTCTTTTTTTCTTTTTCTAGTTTGCGAGACTGCATAGCGGTTGCGGTTCATCACTGCACCTGGCTCTGGTTCATCACTGCACCTGGCTCTTGTGACGTGCCTGATTTGGTGAAGCTTTCTTTGTTCATTTCGCATTCTTGCAGCTGTTTCCAGGAGTGTTCTCCCTCCTTTCAGTTATTTTCTTTTTGCTAAAATGCATATTTTTGTAGTTTTTTCCCACACAAGTTTCGTACCTTAGTTGGGCCGCTGTGTATTAGGCGTTATGCGAGTGGTTTGCCGATTCCGTTACACGTATGCTTTAGCACAATCTTTCAGTGGAATATCAGGACCTGAGAAATGCGGCATTGCAGCCACAAAAATGAATGTACACTCGCACATCTGAACTGAATGTTTGTATCTTTTGCATTTTGCATGAACTGAACAAAGTAAAGCTTTACCTGTAAGTAACTGTTGTATGAAAATTACGCTCATCCAACGCTTTCTTACATATACGTGATTCTGTTAGACGTGTTTGCGCGTGTTGAAGTACGTTATCCCATAAAATTGCGTGCCTTTATATCACTACAATTTCATCGTAAAAGGAAGATAATACAAAAAAGCAAACCGTGTATCAAAACGACCACGCGTGTTGGGGCTCAGTCACATTATCGACAAGCCGCCGGCTCTCAAATCTGTTTTTCATATTAAAGGGCTGGGATCACCCTTTGGCGAAAATTGTAGAGGGCTTATACTCCTTTTTGAATTGCTGTTATAGGTGTGTACTTTATATGAGTCACTGCCGTAGTAGTGAAAGCACATGCGACACTGTATTCATTTAAAGTATTTGTTCTGGTCGTAAAAATATTACGTATGATTCATAGAAGAGCGTGCAAAAAATTTTGCTCTGAAACGCCTTCATCACAATGCCGGTAAAGATCACAATGCCACATATCTTTATTATTCGCGTCAGTTTATCATAATGGGCCATGAGCATGCTGCTGCTGCTGCTAATAATGGTAATAATAATAATAATAATAATAATAATAATAATAATAATAATAATAATAATAATAATAATAATAATAATAATAATAATCAAGCTGGGCAGCTCCAAGTAATTTTGGAAGTCAATGCTGATAGGCGAAACTGAGCAGCAATTTTGAGCATGTGGAATTTGTTAACTTGAACATCAGTGATAGGTATTGTGCCATTTCACCTCAACCTGATTGCAGCACTTGGGATCAGTAGTAATTTACAGTAACGTTTTCTCTAATGAACACACATCCTACGAGCGCGTGCCGCATCAGTTTGGAAGTGCACGCTTGGTTTAACGTAATAATTTGGCGGCCAGACTCTGCACCATCTCAGGCCATTGAAGCCAGCTTTGCAATTTATTATTCGCAGTAGTGATTGTATTTCAACCACGAAGGCTACAAAAGAAAGTACTCACAAATATTTCGGTGGAGGGTATCCTTGGCCAGCACAAGGCAGCTCCACAGAGTCACCTTCTTTTGCGATGACAGAAGATTGCACGTTTGTAATGCGTGGTGGCACATTCACCTTCATATCTGTTCACAGAGACAGAAAAACAATGTAATCTTAAAAATTGTGATTTCTTGGCGATTTTTACGTTATATAGTATACACAAGAGAAGTTTAAACTATAGGGAAAAGTAAGAAACTCAAGCCTAAAACGTTCACAAAATTTATACGCTTCTTGTTTGTTCGTAACTTGTATTGATGGCAGCGTGTAGCCAAATCCGAAGTAGCAAGTGAATTCGCTCATTTAGGCAGTGTACGAAAGTTAGCTATAGCACCTTGACCCTCCTTGACTTGATGCAACCGATGCGATAGACTGTTTTACCCAAGACGGGTTGGTGACGCCATCTGGGGCTGTTAAGTTGATGTTTTCTTGTTTTTGTATACTGCGACGTGAACCTAGTAATGAAACATCGTATGTAACGACCCCGCCATTTTTATGCGTATGGGTCTATTGTGACACTGTGCTCCAGCTGGCTATGCATTATAAGGTTTGACAGCGTGATGCTAAGCGACGACATGAGATGACCACATAAATGACAGACTGCGCTCCTCTGTGTTATTCAGTTCCTTCTTGCGTCCCGTTGGCAGCGCAGTTTGCAAGATGTACAGTAACTCTGTTAACTTACTTCTTAATGATGAAAAAACATAAAGGTTACCAGTGCGATATGCCGGCCCTGAAATTACTTCATGAAATATAGTATTTTCTTCTGAAATAAAGTGTGGCATTGGGCTAGTTGGTTCTTTCACTTTCTACACAATTTCTTCATTTTGTTTACTGAAATCATGACGTATTTGAAAAGTGCTCCTTTCAGCAAGCATTGCAAGTGTTCCAGAAATGCCTCGAACCACTATCTTTCACGAATGAGCTGCCGGGAAATGGTTTTGTCGGGCTTTAGATAGAAAACTAACATTTTCAGCCGCGAACGTCTGTTGGACATATGAGCTACGGGGGAAGAAACCTCAACTGTCATACGCATCTTCTCAAGTAAACTGGTAAAGCGTGGAATTGTAAAAGCATGTATGCATAACGCTTCGCTATATCTTTCTTCCGCTCAGCACAGGAAAGTTTCAGTAAGCAGATTCTCCGTCTTGATATAGCGGGCTATCCCAAATCATTGCTAGTTTCTGTTTGAGAGAATCTGCGCACACATTCAAGGGTAGGTAACGATGGGGGCGCTTCACAATAAACAAGTCCCAAGAGGATGGCAGTGATACTGTGTGTACGTGCATGGTATTTCACATAAACTCAAAAATATAGCCCAAAGAACGGGCATTTCAGTGGCTTTTCCCGCACCAAATAAATTGTCACAGTTGCGTGTTCAAACTAGTGCTGTAGGAAGTACCACGAGCAATTGAAAGGTTGAATACCGTAAAAAGTTTGTTGAGCGTGCAACAGAAATTGTTTACAGTATATCTTTGTCTTATGAACAATAGTACGTAGGTCTAACAGGCAGGTGCATTAACGTAAGACTTCAGAAGCATTGCCAGCCAGTAGGAAGTGTAGGACGGGGGGGCTTTTTGGCCTTTCTCTGTTGTTAACCTGGCTGCCAGCCTTTGTGTGAAAAGACACCGTTTCTCGCGTCCCAACATAACGAATGCACTAGGCTGAAAATTGACAGCGGCAACAATTGCTCGAAGCAGCTGCATCAGTAAACCATCATTAGGTCTATCAGAAAAAGATTTGGCGCATTTGAATTCTTCCGCAAGTGGTGTTCCAGGTTGATCACGTGCTTTTTGTAATCTGTTTCTGTTGTTTTTTTTCGCTGTGTTCTTGAATAAGCATGTTATCTTATCTTTGCTTCTGTATATTCACAGTCGCAACTGTTCAAGCCCTTGATTTTCAATTAACCCAAAAAGTGGCACTGTTCTACAGTAATTCTCTGAATAAATCACCCAAGCAACGCTTACTCAAAAGGCACGTGCTTGCTCCACGTAGCCCCATTGTACTATACAATTTAAAGTACACCTTCAATTGATTAAACCTCGGAGCGATTCTACACATTCAATGTGCTTTTCACGATGTGGAAGGAATATTTTGTTCCCGCTGAAGCGCAAGCAATTTGTTTTGCCAGCGGAGCCATTGTGAAAGCGGAATAAATTCTGAAAAAATAAGGAGCAGGGACTATATATGTTTGACGAACTCACGCTTTCTTAATGTTTAACGTATATCGCAGCGAAAAAAATAGGACCTAGTATATATGCCAAGTTAGGACTATCTTGCTGCAGCCTCTAGGTTCCGAAATTCGAACGAGCAATATAAGAGGATTTCGCTGTGTGTTTTTTATTCCCGAAAAAGAAAGGATATTTAGTAAAGTACGCTGGGTATTGGTGAGTATTGGTGACCTAATCTCTAATAAAATTGGCCTTGAATTCAATGCTAACTAAAAAAAAACTAGTATTAGCGGGACGTACTTTGAGCTCTGTCTGACCAGAAAGGATTGCCACGTTAAACTTGCTGGGTGTAACCTGCTTGGTTTCAGCAAGGTTTAGCGAGCATTCGGCCGCAGTGCTATGAACTAGTGGTGGTGAAAGGTGGGAACTGGACACGAAGCGCAGGCCGTAAGAGAGTGCGCGTGTGCCACTCCTGTAGTCCAGCCGAGCCATCTCTCGTTTAGTCCTTGGAATGTCCGCTGGATGGCGGTACTTGAACTGTTCACTAGATGGATGGATGGTCAGACAGACAGATGCTTGTACGAGCGCATGGACGGACGCACGGACGAACGCACGGGATAATGGATGCTTCGCTGTGTGTGTGTTTTTTAGTAAGCAACAACTTCAAGGCAAATTTTTATTGAAGATTATGTCACCGATACTCGTCTCTGTAGGTTATTTCATCGGAAACAACTATCTTTTTATTTGTGAATAACGTGCGTGGGTTTCCCCCTCAATTGTAAAGACAGCGCTCGCACTACTCCTCTAGTCAAGTCGTGGAGAATGCTACCTACTAACACTACTACTACTACAACTACTACTACTACTACTACTACTAACTACTACTACTACTGCAGACATACATCGCGGACTCACGACTTGTGGCTTAAGGAGCTTTGCTTTCAAAAGGTGTGAAAGTGTCAAATGGCAATTTTAAAGCCTACCCACCTATTCTAAAGTTTTAACAAAGGCATGCTCGGAATTGTGACACAAGCCATGAAAGAGAGCGGTGCTTTAACGTACCGGAAGGAGGTCGGCTGGTGGACGCTAGTAGCGTGCACTAGTTCTTCTATCTTTTTTTTTTCACGAGTAGTTGAACTCTCGCTAAGCACCTGTTTATGACCGAGACATGGTCCTCTAGCAGCTTCAGAGGGTTTTGGCATGCTAACGAAAGGCGCGCGGCCTCTTATTTTCTTCTTCTCCATCGTTGCAGCCGCATGCGATTGAGTGGTCATGACGCAGCAATGCTTAAGTGAAAAACAGTTATAACGCACGTCTAGACTCGTTTACCACGAAGCCGTTTACCGCGAAGTCGTTGCCCTCCTCAATGAGAAAAAAATAGAAAGTTGCGTTGTATGTTCATGTTGAATCCCAAGCAATAAAAAAATTGAAATAGCTGGATGCTGGAAATTCTACCAAGAGAATGAAGCCTTACGAAGGCGTGGCATCAAATGAGGTTGTTTCATGGGAGCTTGGCGCACGCAGTCATGCCTTTTTTTTTTGCGGGGGGGGGGGGGGGGGGGGCTGGCTAACTTTTTTGCCTTCTATTTCTCTCCTATTTTTCTTCACTCTATTTTCCACCACAAACTCTTTTTTTTTATAATCTGTCTGCCAATTAATTCAAGGCCATTTTTTCATGATCATTCCACATCTTTACGCTGAAGATAAAACAAAGTATTAAAACGTTGAAAAGTCTTGACTGGTCGTCCTAAACATGTGATGTACTTTTGTTTTTCCGCACATGTGTAAAGCATTACTAGGAAAGTTAGCCTGGTTATTATTTCGTACAAAGATCAGTGGAAGTGATGGGCCAACGACGAGGTAATAATAATCAAGAAAAATATTAGAGGAAATAAAAATGAATGGTCAGAAAATGTAGAGTAACACTCGCTACTAACACAAGCACGAGCACTTTTACCTGTCACGACAAGCCTGCCGTAAGAACTGAGTTTGGTTTCTCCGGTAAGTCGGTGCCAGGTGCGACAGCGAAACTCGGTGGTGCCGTCGGTCTGTTGAACTTGGCGCACTTGCAACTCTCCGCTAGGAAACACGCTCATGCGACCACCTAGAAGAAGAGAAGAGAACTGTTGGTCTCTACTTGCATCATCGCCTTCCTGATAGCGAATTTCTGCTGGTATTTCTGCGTTTATATAAATGCCTGAAGATTTTCCAGCATGAGATAACATGAAACTCTAGTAACATTTGTAATGTTTCCATGTATATTGTTATACAGCTTAATATAGCTTTCGATACATGCTTAGCAGCAGCTTTTTGTTCTGTTTATTCTTTTCGCCAATAAGCTCCACATTGCAGTCAGTCACCATACGAGTACAGCCTGTTTCACAGGACTGGTGATAAGGCTGCCGACATGTGTTCCGCACTATTCGTGAAAGCGTCGCCAGTGAATGGCTGAATTATGACTGCACTTACCTCGTCGTAGACAAGCATCAGTCATGTAGTAGAGCGCACAAGGAATTACATCTTTGTTACGTGGTTTTTAATAGTATTTTCTGAACGTTTCTCAATAACCATATTCTATAAACTGAAATTATCAAAAGCGATCACGTTATCCGTGCACCACCAACTACGTTTCAAATACACAACGACCCACTCTACCCATTGTGACAGAAAAAGGCTGAACGATCTGCTTGCGGTGAACAATGATACACAAATGATTACAGGAAACTTCAACACTCGTAACCCTATCTGGGGCAGATTGAAAGTTAATACTATGTTATGGAAACTGGCTTTACTTGAAACAGATCATAAACTGTCTTTCCTTTAGGATGGGGGTCCCACATTTATACGAGGGTCAACGTACCGAAGCTGCTCAGACTTGACGTTTCTGTCGTGTCGCTTTGCCAATATTGTTGAGTGGTTTTCTGATATCGAGACACACATCGTGTTGAAGTCCAAACTGAACTTAATCGGTTCTGCAAATGCAACCAGCATAAAAACCAGCGAGCCAGGCTGACAGATCGAAGACAGATCGGATCATTGAAAAGAAGATTTAGCGTCGTACTGGTTAACTTGACCTAGGACGGTGGCCGTAGTGTTGTCTCTAAACCCTCACCAACCACTTTCAGAATATAGCGAAATAGGCTAGGCGCACTTATTCTGGACAAGCAACGCTTTTTGTTTAAGCCTTGTAACATTCTCAACGTCGACTGGATATCGAGGTAGCGGAAGATTTCTCTAGGAACACTGTAGACAAATTAACATGTACAGCAGCCCTTGTTGATGATAACACGCTGCAATCACATTACTCACGTAAGAACTGGTCTTTTTTACAGGACAGAAGTCGATGCGGTCCTAGCCGGCACATGTAACAGGTCGTAGTAGCCTAGGCCGGATGCTCTATCATACCGCCTATTATGCAACAACGGCGATTGGGCGAGAAAAGTTTTCGATGAGTGAGATAACAAAATCCTGGATATTTGAGGAATCCTAAAGAATGAAAGGCAAGTCTCGTGGCTCCCCTAATCAAACTGGGAAAAGAATCTCTTGAGCTAATTATGCACCACCTAATAGCGCTGATTAGTTGCATAGTAGACTCGATGGAGCGAATTGCTTTTAACAGACTAGGGGGCTTCTCGAACACTAAAGAATGTATCCTAATACAATGACATTTCTCGAGGATTTAGTTGCTGAGATGACATTGTTATTGATATTGATTCAATGACCCAAATAAAAACTTCCAGAATTGAGCACGAAGAAAACGGCACAAAACGAAAGCTTGCGAAGAAAAATTCGTGAGCAGGTGGTATGGGCTCAAAGCAATGTTTGGAGAAGTGAACTTGCTTTCTCCAAGGATGAAGCTCTTTTCTTTAGAGCTTTTCTTTACATGTTCCACACCATTTCCTACAATGCAAACAAAGTAAAAGGGAATGGCGACAGCAACTTGATTGATCAGTGGGGTTTAACGTCCCAAAACCACCGTATGATTATGAGAGACCCGGTAGTGGAAGGCTACGGAAATTTAAACCACCTGTGGTTCTTTAACGTGCACCAAAATCTGAGCAAATGGGCCTACAGAATTTTCGCCTGCATCGAAAATGCAGCCGCCGCAGCGGGGATTTGAACCTACTACCTGCGAGTCAGCAGCCGCGTACCTTAGCCACAAGACCACCATGGCGGGGCATGGCGACAGCAAAAGCGGGACGGGTATGAGAGGCTGCCTTGACAATTTGTGCGGATCAAAAGAAAATGGGTAGGCTCAGGAAAAAATAAGAAGAGGGCCATTATTATGGGCACAAACTTTGCTGTAGTCCTCGTGTTACTGTTCTGAATAAGCGCGTGATGGCCGTCGTACAACTCAAAAATTTTCGGGAGGAAAACGTAAGGCTTTTAAGTGCATGCAATGGTACACTACAAGATGTTTTTGCGATGCATCTTACGGCTACTGATGAAGACTTGCAGAAGTAACATAAACACAGCCACAAACATCTGTGCCCGGCACGCACAGTCATGCTGCACACAAAAAGCGGAGACCATAGAAATGGCCAAAGGTCATCTGACTACAAATGCGCTTTACACTGGTGCTGCTTAGAGCGCCAATTTGGCACCTTGCTCACGCCCCTGCCCGCCACATCACCTTTCTTCCATATAAGCGGTCAGTGCCTCTTTTTGTAAAAGGACTTCGCTTTACCAAGAGCGCCTTCCCACAAGCCTGATGTGAGGAACCCTGACACCTTCTTTGTGTTTTCTTTGAACTAGACTTTGTTTTACAGCACCAGGTGTTCGTAAGAAGGTGGAGCTCTCGTCACCAGATCAGAAGCAGCTCTATCTGCTCGTGGTGAGACAACAATACGAAGGCCATGTTAAATAGTACACGGAAGGCTTCACAAAAGTGAAGGTTCTGCAGGAGCTGTGTTATGCCCACTAAAAACCAAAGTCGTTAATTTTCTAAAAACTCATAACATCAGCAGCTCGGTAGCCGGCGGCCTGGGCAATGCACATCGCAATATTAAAAATGCACCAGCATAATAGAGCATATTTGTTTGTTCTAAGTGAGCTCTATAATGTTTTGTAACTGGTCTACATCCTCCAACAAAATGTCATACAATGCTGGAAATAATACGACTCTTTCACGACATGATAGATTAAGGTCATTGCGCTATTTTTGAATGATTACGAGGCCACTGTGGCATCATCAGTCCCACAGCATGCGGATTCATACGCTTGCGCGTGACAGGGCAAGAACTACGGAGAGCGCACTCTGTTTACGCCAGACGCACTTGTATCTGTGCCTACGTCTCAATATTTTATTTAGGTCGGTGGATGAAATCTCGGCTGCGGCGGCTGCATTTTCGATCGTGGCGAAAATGCTTTAGGCTCGTTTGCGCAGATTTGGGTGCACGTTAAAGAACCCAAGGTGGTACAAATTTCAGGAGCCCTCCACCACGGCGTCTCACATAATCATATAAGGGGGGGGGGGGCTCCGAACGTTAAACCCTACATATCAACCAATCAATCAATCAATCAATCATTCAAAATTATATATAAAATACGCCGATTCAAGACAACGTTTCTCGGCCGCATATGGCATAGGGTGCACATGTCCTAAACTAACATCTTCATTTGCTACATATGCATAACAGGTAGTGCCGCCTCTGAACATCGCAGTATTGAAGCAACCATACGCGGTTTCCTTAGTAATCCTCAATAGAAATTCCAGAGACATACCCTCTCAGCTGTGTTCATCGGCCTCCGTGACCACTCGCTCTCTGAGCAATCGACCTCAGAATGCAAGAAAGTTTCAGTTTCACACAAAAACGCGATGAAGCCGTTGCTGTAGTGTCTACGAGTGAACCACCTTCTTGGACGATTATGACACGTCCGTCTGTGTGCGTGTGTGCGCAAGCATGTTTCAACTCGTCTCCATAGCTCTCCTAATTCTTCCTTTTCTTTTTTAGTGTTCTGTATCCCCTTACCCCTTCTCTAGTGCAGGGATAGAAATCAAATATTTCTCTTCCGGTTAACCTCCACGCAGTTTCCTATGAAAAGTTCATCTATCTTCTCTCAGTAATATGCGTTATTACAGGCTCGTGAGATTACGGCGAAAAAAGCGGCTGCTTGAAGCGGAGCATTTACGTGCAACGTTAGCAAAAGTACGTCGACCTGAAGTTCTCCACACCTCTGTAATAGAAAGAGAGTGGAAAATGACGACAGTGTCTTGGCTCTTAGGTTGCGTTGAAGGCACGCTGCGGTAGTTCCAACGTGCTAACAAAATATCCTTGCATGACAATTCGAAGTGTTTCATTAAACAAATGCATCTAATAATTAGTAAAGTTTTTCAATTCTCAGTCAACTCCTTTCTACTCGTCGATTGTGACTTTGTAAACATTTCGAGCTGCTGTTCGGCCCATAAACGTTCGCTCGAGCTGAACGACATTCTAAATGAAATTAGTACTTGAGAATACTTCGGCGTTACACCTATTATTGCCATTTGACTTGCTGGTGTTTTGCTTTTCTGAAAGGTCGCCTAAGGCAATTTTCTATCAGGAATGTCCTCGTCGCGTTCACAGCGCGCACGCCACGTGTGATTGTAAAGTGTAGGGACTCCGGTGATAACGCGAATAAGTGACGATTGGAAGTGTACGGCTAAATGGCACTTGTAGTTCTGGATGTTTTTACAGTGAGGGTCCGAAAATTTTGCAGTGTCATACTAAAATTTTGTAGGATATCACTGAACCTCAGCTTTAACACAATATAAGCCCTATGACCATGGCTGGGTGCGCATGTTCGAACAAATAGGTATAGCATATATGGCTAGGATATTCACCAACCTGGCGACTCTTACGTTATTCTCTCTTCCAATAAGTGATTAATCCAAAACTCACCCAATGGAGGCCACGCCCACTAATGGGATCACGCAGACTGGCCGTAAGACAACGGAGGTCTGCCTGCACCGATGAGGATGCGAGAACACGTACAGCACAGGTGCAAAGACTGAAAGGCACGATCATTTCCCTCGGCGTAGAAAGCACACACAAAAATGAAACCAATTGTAATTACCGCCTTCGGAGGCAGAGACTACGCCCAACATCGCCAAATAGATCGCGAATCCCATAGAGCACAACGCGAGTAATATAATTTCTGACCCATATACGCCTAATAGCCATTAGTTGGTTCTCTTTTGCACAAAAGCACCCCTTTAGCACAATACTGTGAAGTTAAGCCTTCCAAAGTCAGTGTGATGAGTTTCATTTAAAAGTGGAAAGCGCACAGAATTGTCTTCGTAATGTTTGTACCATACACCACACAACGTTCAAAGAAATACTTCAGCCTTTAGAGAAATGCTTAATGCAGGATTACGCAGTGTAATGGACTTACAAGCACATCGAACACTTTCTCTAACTAAAGTTGAAGTCTGTTGCTTTATTACCGGACTATTCCTTTTTAGCCACAAATTAGATGCGCTGTCAGATACGCGTCGAATTGAGTGGCATAGTTGTAAGGCCCTCAGTATCACATTCCAAGTAACAATATAAAAAAAACTGAGTATTGTGTGAAATTCAGCAATTAAAGGTAAAGTGTGTGTAACTAGTTATATAATTTTTCTGCCAGTCAGCTACAGTACTTGCATAAAAAATCCGCTATTAGGCCCAGCATGCGGAATTTATTTACTGCTTCTGTGTGTTTTGAGCGAAGAAAAAAATAATTTTATACGTTGGTCCTGGATGGCATTAGGTCGAACAATCGCCGCACATGCTTGTGCACCCAGCAAAGTGGTCCTCTGCAGCAATACACAGCATAATAAAGTTTAATAATCGCCAGTTGTCCACTGAAGAGGCCTGCACGAATGTGCACGCCAGGCTTCAAGCGGATTCAAGAAACACGCGTTACATAACATGCCAATAAGTTTGGCGACTCTATTCGTACACACCATGACTTAAATATCTATATTTGTATGGTACTACGTATCGAATGCCATCATTTCAATGACCTCGGGTGTACTTTTCGCAGCTGGAGTGAATGATTTGAATACCTGAGGCAACAGAAAGTGTGAAAAACTTGGACGACGCTCGAGAATGTCCTCAGAGATAGAACGCCACAGCGTAATATGCCCCATGCGCATCGCCTTCTCAGTTGCTAGCCTCGCTTCGGTGTCGCTTGATTTCAACCGTGCCACAAAGAATCTAACGTTGGTTTGCAAAACGTAAGCCGTTCGAAACTATATTAGAATGGTCATTGTTGATGATGACCTCCGCACATTGCACACACCCAAGGGAGAGTAGAAGCTGAGTTATTCTCCTATCGCTGCATTAAGTAATTGCTAGATGCACTAGCTTATTAGTTTTTGCGGGCAATGATTACTGCATGCCAGAGATCATAGTCATGAAGGGGGGGGGGGCGTTCAATCACAATTAGTGGATTTTTTGTGTTTGTGTATGTTCTTGTGGGCATTCGCAAATGTGAGTGTGTATATGCGCACACAAAATATTAAATACGATTGGGGGGAAGAAAATGTTAAGCCTCCCCCTTCTTTTCCACACCCACAGAGAAACGATACACTCGATTCGATGTGTATTCAAGGAGAGTCCCTCGAATGCACTCCCTATTCGATGTCAGCGCCAACTAGCGTTCAGTGCAACTTAGCGATCAATGAAAAGACAACAGTGAGAAAGAGCGTAGCTGCGTGCGCAATCGAGCAGGGCTCATCCAATCTGTGGCAGTATTTCATAGGATATAATCTGAAATTGGGCAGGTTGTAAGCAGCATAAAACACCACTCACGTCAGCAGATACACATAACCAGTAATGGTCCAATAAAACCCGAGCAGTCTATTATAATTTGACATAGTTTTCACTAGCAATAGTTTGAAGGCCCGTCAATACGAGCAACTTATTACGCACTCACCCAACATTTCTTACTCCCTAAATAAGTGCGCCTTCTGACGTAACGAATACACTCTGCTTATTAGCGTGAGCAAATAAAAGGAACGCTTAACTACCATCACTTGGTTCGTATGTCAATGCGTACCACAATAGACATAGAAGAGCAGAAAACCAGGCAATGGTACATGTGAACAGCCAGTTCATATGGCAGGCCTTGTGCAAATAAAAAAACTAAAAAAATAACAGCAGCATATCCTATGTGTTTTTGATAATTAAATGTATGTAAGGAGAGGTTGGTGCCAATACGTGGCACCGGGTACGGCGGTGTTAATGATGATGAGTGTAGTGGAGCATTACAGGCCCTCAGCTCAGCTTCCCGTCCATCCATCCGTCTGTCCGTTCGTCCGTCCGTTCGTCCGTCCGTCCGTCCATCCGTCCTCCCGTCCGTCCGTCTGTCTGTCTGTCTGTCTGTCTGTCTGTCTGTCTGTCTGTCCGTCCGTCCGTCTGCCATCCTTTACTATTATCCTTATACTGTTATTTTTATATGTCCGTCTGTCATCCAAACTATTATCAAACTAAACTACATGCAACACGCCAATTAGTGATCACTTCATTTACTGCTACAGGACAACGACATCTAGGGAACATTGTGAGAAGTTAGGGGTAGCTACAAAGGAGGGATTGAGCCAGTGCCTAAGGAGCGTCACCCCTAAGAGCAAGAGAAGCATCCATACCACTGACAATGAGATCGATCTTGTCAGCAACCTTCTGCTCCCACGACATAACGATAACGTCATCACGGACGAAGGACGGCACGTGGCATCGAAGAACAGCCGTGTTTCCGGCGATGGTGAACTCGTCGTACACTTGCACTTCGTAGTATTGCTCCACAACTGCGAATGACACAAACAGATGCAAAAAGAAATCAAGACTGGTCCTTCCATTGAAGGCATCGATATAACACTGAAGTAAAACGAGTGTTTACAGAGGCAGTTGATGTTTACTGTACATTCATAGAAGAGAGCGTGCATCAAGAGTGTTTGGTTCCGTTAAACTGGAATGCCCTCACTTTGATATCTGATCATACTTGTTTATATGATGACTAACGTCCGTGATCAATTACATAACCGTTCTAGTAACATGACAAGAACAAAGTTGTGTGAAAGACTGAGGATCGTGGCTGATTCAACACAGCACGTAGGCTGAGGTCTTTATCTCGCATTGAACATTTGGCTGGACTATTCGTGACTCCGGCAATTCACTGAGGAACCTAGCAGCAATAGGAACCAAGCAGCAACAGGAACCAAGCGCCACTCGTACATGGTAGGAGGACGGTGGGATAGTGCCACCCGTAAAAATAAAAAACGAACGGCCATAGCGAATTTCTTCTTTCCAGGTGAGGCACAGTGTTACCTTGTTAACTCGAACCTATTAAATCACCATTGTATTCAGTGACTACATGTCTCTGCGGCTCCCGAAGTATGTAAATAAAGTTGGCAGATACGCGGTGCGCCTTGAGAACTACACACACAGCGCGACCATTTCAAGAACGCCACTGCGTGCTTGCGGGACCACTGGTGCCGACTAAAATAAGATGCTCCGCGTCAACAACCCGCTCCCTTTCTACAAAGCAGCACTAACTGCAATCACACAGCAGAAAACTCAATATTTGTGTTAGCGACAGCGGACGCGGTGACCTCCATGAATCCGCCATGCTGGAACTCCGCAGCGCCCTCTAATGTTATTTTGGTTGCAAACAGGCAATCGCAAAGTGAGGGGTGTGTCCCCTGTAGCCCGTTCTTGTTTTTGGGTGTTTAGAAAAAGTGGTAAACGATTTAGAGCACTTGGTACTCTACTATGGGAAGCTACTCAGAAGAGTGAACCCACCGCATTGATTTATTAGGGGCTAAGCTTTTTAAGAAGGCACCCGTTCGTCCCTCGTAGTCGTAGTCGTAGTGTGTAACAAGTGTTACAATTCGACCTGCAAGGTGGTGCTGGTGAGAGATTTCTTCTGCGCGTTGTTGAACAATAAAATATTCGCAGCGTGCGCGTTACCTAAAAGCCGAATGCTCCTGTCTCTCATTCCCCATTAGCAGCCATTGGCATGTACATTGTGCACTGTCTGACAAGAAAGGTTTGCTACGTTATACTCGCTGGGTGTAACCTCTTTAGTTGTAGAAAGGTTTAGCGAGCGTTGAGCCGCAGTGCTATGAATACAATGAACTTGTATATGCCATTAACACTAGGTGGTTAAAGGGGGGAAGTAGATACGAAGCGCAAGCCGTAAGAAAGTAAAAGCCGAATTCTCTTGTCTCTAATTTCCCATTAGCAGCCATTGACATGTACGTTGACCACTATCGCAGAGGCTCGGGTTTGTCCCATCATTGTATACATGCTCTGCGAGCCACTTAGATATAACCTCCGATTGCTGAGAAGACACAAACAGCATCCACTGTCAGTACTATCCGCCACTCCCCCAGATGGCAGTTTCTGAAGAGTAATATCGTGGCATGAAAATATTATACCATCAAGGTTTTCTCCGCCAAATGCCCCTGCAGTGCCTCCATGGGTCATGCCTAAACCACCTGTTTGTTTTACGATACCTAGAATTACGACGAAGTCGCTCATGTCTTCTGTTGGCCTCAGGCAACTGACCCTATATCACATTTATACAATGTACAGTGACTCTCTGCACGTGTACACCGACTGATCCACCACGCTAAACACCTCCGCCGCAGCCTTTGTCATCCGAGACATGGATATCGCTCGATGAGTCAAAGTGGACCATAAAACCACATCAACTGCCGCAGAGCTTGTCGCTATCCGGGAGGCAATAAGATTTATTTCCGGAGAGCGACCTCAAGCCTGGACGATTTTTTGTGATGCCAAACCCGCTTTGCAAACCATTATTGCATCATGAAGCAAGGTCCATATTACAGCTTGGCAATAAAATAACAGAACTGATTCAGGTTGCTTCAACAAATGGCCATCTTATCACTTTCCAGCGGATTCCCACTCATTGCGGTGTAATGGGAAACGAAGACGCAGACGCTGAAGCTAAAAATGCCTTAAGCAGTGCCCCTGAAGTACGCATTGCGTTTTCACTAGCTGACACGAGCGCCCTGCTTCACTGCGTGATGCGCAGCTACACACTTCAGCACTGGACCAAACCACAACGGCGACACAAGCGACTTCGCAAATGGGACCCGGAATTGAGGTTCCGCATGCCCCCTAAATTGAAACGGCAACTCAGAAGTATAATCCACCGCATTCGTCTTGGTGTGACGTACACCAGACGTTAAGCACATATCACCGGTCGCAGTGACACTGGTCCGAATTGTGAACGCTGTGATGTGCCAGAAACACTTGAGCACATATTTTGTGTCTGCCCAGCATACGCACCTGAACGACAAACACTGATTTCTTCTACTGAACTATATCGCAGTAGGTCATTACCTGATGAGACCGTGTTTGTCCCTTGGCCAGACACCAACAGCGCAACTGCGGTCACAAGAGCATTTATAACCTTTTTGGAAACAACTGGACTATATGCGCGGCTATAAAATGTATCTCAACTATTGAAAAAACACTACATACTCACCTCTCTATCTCACCATCGTCATCCATTAATCTTTCTTTTCCCCTTTCCCTTCCCGCAGTGTAGAGTAGCAGGCTGGAGCAGGCTATCGCTCAGGCCGACCTCTCTGCCTTTCTGTAAGTAAACTTATCTCTCTCTCTCTCTCACTATCTGACAGGAAAATGTTGCTACGTCATACTCGCTGAGCGTAACCTCCTTGGTTTTGGAAAGGTTTAGCGAGCGTTGGGCCGCAGTGCCATGAATACAGTGAACTAGTATATACCATGAATTCGAGGTGGTTAATGGTGCGTAGTAGCGTCACCCCCGGAAGCTTTTCAGGCCTGCGCGTCACGTGACGTGACGTCGACGACGTCACATCGCGCCGGCCGGCCGGCCGCCCTTCGCTGGGTGGCTGCGCCAGCCGCGAGCGCCCTTCACGCCTACCGACTCGGGCGAGGTTCCTTGACACCATGTCCGCACGATTTATCAAGGTATCCATTGATTGTATGGTTTAACGCGCCGACGCAACGCAGGCGATGAAGCGCGCCGTAGGGGAGGGCTCAGGATCAAGTTTTACTACCTGGGAATCTTTATTGTGTGCCGAAATCTCGTACACACGGGCGTTTTTGCTTTTCGCCTCCATCAGAAATGCGGCCGCCGCAGCCGGGTATCGAAACTGCGCCCTAGTGCTCAGCAGCGCTACGCCTTAGCCACTGAGCCACCGTTGCGGGGGAACTTATCAAGGTATCAAGAAATAATGAATATCGTGAATGGAATAATGCGTATTTATTTATCACAGCCAGACGCCGTCTGTACAAATATCACAGTGCACATTGTTCTCGGTCCAGGCAGACGACAGGCAACACAAGATGTTGCCCTTAATGCTGAAAATATGCCAAAAGTACAAAACACAATATCTTGCCACATAAAACTCAGAAAACAAAACAGATTGTAACAGCAAAAACATCCCCGAGCTTTGGAACAGAAAAAGCACACTTTCATTTAAATTGTAGGTTAGAGGAAAACATACCATTCGTTTATCATAGTAGCAGTAGCAACACAAGGTATCAGGTTCAAACACTTGCCAAAAATACAATACATAAGAACACTGGTGACTAAATTGTGGTCCACAGCATGATAAATGACAGAAAGAAAAGTAATTGTACTGCCACAGGTAGGTGCATGTTCTAGGGAAAAAATCAAACAAAAATCTAAGAAAAAACAAATCACAGTGCACAACATGTCTGTACACAGAGTGCACAAGGAAAGTGTACACAGCTTAGGTACCAAAACGGACTGTACAACTGCTACAGTGGGCACCGAGGCAGTTCGAGTTAAAAAAAAAAGAAAAAAGTACAGCACCTTTAAAAGCTAACAACTTGTAAAGAGATACAAAACTGGAAACAAGGCTCAAACAAGGGAATGTATTGCTTGAGCCAGGTGGCAATAAGTGCAGCGCTCCTCAGACAGCATCGACAGGTTGTTCAAAATTTCCAACAAGGAACTTACTTTTTGAACTGAGTCTGGTACAACAGCGCTACCAAGGCTCTTGATTGGTGAACCTTGATAGCAGGCAAAGACTTCAAGGTTTGCAAACACGGTCAATGACGCATTCAAACAAGGTTCACGATAGTCGATAATGTTCAAAAACATGGAGCACTCTTCTTTATGAATCACAGTCCACTTCGGAGACACTGACACCCCTTGCAGGCGAGCCCTTAGTTCTTCGAGGGACGAAAACCGGTCTCGTTCTTGCTCCGCTTCATATGACGCCAGCGACTCTTCTACAGCACGGGCGAGTTGGGAGGCTTCTTGTCGGCTCCTCTTGGCGTCAGGGGTTTCTCTCGTGCTCTGGTCTCGTACTGATAGGTAGGACGGACAGCCGGGAAATACCGTTGAGACAGATCCAGGACGCAACCGTGGTACTGGGAGTGAACTTCAATAACTCTCCCTGTCCTTGGATCCGTCTACGATGTCGTCTTCTCAATGCATGAAGCGTCGAAATGATCCGCGCACACCTGCACAAACGTTTCAAGAACGTCTGAGACGCCACTTCTCAAAAGAAAAAAATGCGCTCCCGTTTGCATGACCGTGTTTACAGTCCGTGTAGCTAAAACAAAGTCTACCTACGTTTCGCAAGCATCTAATAAAAGCGCTGCGCTAAGCGGTACAAGCAACATGAAAGGAAACACGGGAGCGTGATGTCACCGCACTCCACGAAGCGCTTCCACCGAGAGCTTGCAAGAATGGACGACACCACGGCACTGTTAGTGAACAAAGCGCAGCTGACCATCCTTGCTGCGAACGCTGCTGGCGTCAGCGCTTCGCGAGGCCCGGCAGCCACACGCTCAAGTATTTCCCATCATAGGTGATTTCTACCCGAACAAGCAACGACAAGCTAAGAACAGGAGCATCTCAAATTCTTACCTTAGTGCACGAAGTCGGCACGAAGTCCTTCCTAGGAATGGCGCGTAGCCATTGTTTGAGAGCGTCGGCGTCTTTAGGGAAGGAAAACACTTGTATCTTCTTTCCTGTTTTGTAGTTGCCGGTGCATCCGGGTACACAACACTTATTCGGCATTGTCGCATCACTGCAGCATCACGCACGGAAACGAAATTGCCGCAAAACAACAACGGAAAGCAACAAACGTGAAACACCGTCAACACCACGCCGCCGAACCGTCACCACCGCCGCCCGCGCTGCGCTCGCTGCCGCTGCGGCTTCCCCGAGAGTCGGCCGGCCGGAAATGACGTCAGATTGCTGGGCGCAGGCCTGAAAAGATTTTCCGGGGGTGACGGTAGTAGACCCGAAGCGCAAGCCGTAAGAAAGTGTGCGTGTGCCACCTCTCGTTTAGTCCTTGGAATGTCTGCTGCTGGATGGTGGTGCTTCTATATGGGGAATTTATGATTAAAAGATGCGAGATGGTGGTGCTTGGAGCGTTGAATAGATGGACGGACGGACACACAAACAGATGCATGGATGGACGCATGAAAGGACGCAAGGGCGGATGCATGGACGAACACAGGGACAGACGCACGGACGGGCGGATGGACGCATGGACGGTCACACAGACGGACGCATGGACTGACGGAAGCAAGAACGAATGGACGGACGAATGCTTCGCTCCACTGTCCATCATTCACTCCGTGGTTATGCTGTCAATTTTTTTTATTCTTTATTAAATGCGAATGCATTTCTTGCATTTCTTGGTAGGGCTATGCCAGGCATCCGGGGTTGTTCGTGGCGTCCACGGCGATGTCCGCGCGCCGGCAGGTGTTATCTCTCCGCTCCATCATTTCCGTCCATAAAGCCACATCCACACGCGAGGCCAAAATCCCGCTGCTCTATGGACCGAACAGTCACGTGATTAGTTTAATCCGTTGCAGCAGCGGACACGTCGCATGCACACAGCCAAAACTATGCTCGCGGAATCTCCGTGCATACTTTCGACTCCAGTGCTTATGCGGTGCGCTTGTTCCGCCTTTATTAGATGCGGAGCATCTTATACTTGCGCCTTGTAGTGCGCCGTCCGCGCCGTCCGCACCACTTCTCGAACATTCGACAGCTGACGCGCGCGCATGCGCCGTCACGCCGTCGCCCACTCTTCCACCATCTGTGCATCCCTTCCTCCTCTACAAACCGCGCGCGCTTCACTCCTCCACCATCTGTGCACCCTTCCTCCTCTACACACCGCGTTCGACATCTACAATTCTCCTGATTCTCCAGTGGACGCGCATGTGGCGTCGCGCTTCGAGAACATTCAACAGCTGACAGTGCATGCGCCGTCGTGCTGTATATATACTCAAGGTCGGCGCTCGCTCGCTCAGTTGCCGCTCGTCGGTTGGTTTGTACGGCGCGTCGACGTCCAAGGTCGCGGTGAAATGAATTCCAACGAATCCACAAACACAATGATCGACGTCCCTTCGACCAGCGCCGCCCTTTCGCATACGTGTGTACGTGTTCACTCATTTAACACCCCCTCCTACAACCACGTTAACCAATTTAGCCATCGACCCAAGTAAGTCGCAATTTAACACCCCATTTCACAACCACGTTAACCAATTTAGCCATCGACCCAAGTAAGTCGCACTTTAACACCCCGTTAACCAATTATATGGTCCGCATCCTCCTCAGTGTTCCCCCGAGGGAAGCTGCGGGCAATTTTTTTTCTACGTGGAGCTATTTGTGACAGGGCGCAGCCGATACCAGTAGGATATTTGTATTTTTATAATTTATCTGTTGTGACTTCACGTTTTTGAACGCATGAGAAAGTCTCGCTTTTTTACGTGCACCTCAAACACTCAGCGGCGTCTCCGTCTACATGAAACGCTCAACTTTCCACAGCGTTACGAGACGCGCGCCAAAAGGGACTACTTCGGGTATTGCTTCATGTGGAGAAGCTCCGCCTCCGTAGCTTTGCTTTCAGTGCCAGGAAAAGTTGTCGCCCAGTATAAAACCCGTCGCTTTTAAGCCGGCTTCCTGCATCTTAGCTACATGAATCCGACCCATGTTGACAGATTCGACGCTGAATCCTCTCCATCGAGAGCAGACGACCGTCAAACGAAGAGATCGAAATAGCGGTGACGCATTTCTATCCGTGCCGTGAGCGGAGGAGAGCGGATGAAGCGAGGACGGCACGTTTTGATGACGCGCACGTCAAGTGATGCGCCATCCGCTGCGGAAATTCCCCCTCCGTTCTCTCGTGTGAATGCAGCTTAAACGACTAATGTCCATGATTGTGACTATAGTGAACTTAAAAAGTACGTTCTGGTTCACTATAATAACGATTGATTCTTCTGTGTGGTAGCTCTATTATTCAACATACTCATGGACATGCCATATGATGAATCCCGTGTAAATACAGCGTCAACGTGCACCAAATAAACACTGGTGCTCGGTATTTACTCAATCAATGCGTTATCAATTCAGGCGAGAAGCGGCAAGGTTGGCGCTCCCCATTATAGGGTAACCTACGTCTGTGCTACTGCATGTGCTACTTTAGGGCTCGCCATGAACGTGAGAGCATAAGTTCGTAGCTAGAGCTGTGAACGCACGAAGGTGTACCTCTTCTCGCTGGCGTGCCGTCTCTTGTTGCACGAAAGCACCCACTTTCCCGACGCCTGTCCGTCTTTGTCCTTGCCTTTCTGCAGCACTTCAACGTCGAGTTAATGATTAGAGGCGTTTCGAGATTGCACACCTATTCTTTAGTAAGAAGGGATGCTTGGCTTCAGCTCCAACCCCAACCCCCCCCCCCCCCCCGTGGTGTGTTGTGGCGTCGACATCACACTTCTCTTTTCAAGACACGCCGAATGGAACGGCAGTTGTTGCAACGAAGTGTTTTTGGAGATTGCGGAGGCCACGAATTACATCACTTTTTTGTTTCTTGATTACTACACTACCCATCATCCCAAATGTTTGTGAGGAGAAATCGTTAGATAAAAGCAGCGTATTCATGTAGCATTCATCCTTCTTGTGTTTGGCCATATGGTGCAAGCGGTTCAGCAACCGTTAGCTATCATCGAGGACTAAAAGGTCATGGGCTCAACTCAATCAAGAAAATTTCACCTATGGTTTCTTTCTCTTTGATATCTGATCGCGTACTCTACTCTTGCATTTTCATGAAGGAATTTCAATATGAAAGCCTTGTTCGGCTCAGGCATTTAACACATTATAGTTGAAATTCAAGTTGCAAACAAATCATTGGTAAAGCACATCGCCTGTACTGGTTCAAGAATGTGTACGTAGACGTTGCATATGCCAGATACCCTATGGAGGAAGATCAGCACGCATGCAGGTGTTCTTTCTCAGCCTGGTTTATCTGAAAGAGCACTTGCAAGGTGCAAAGGACACCGTATGATGCACTTCCAAAAGCAACTATCTGAACGCTTTAGCTAGTTACGTATCGTGCAACTGGAACCAACAGGGCCACTCATGCAATGTTTTTTTTTACTATAAAATCTACCAGCTTGGATTCATGACAGAGTCTGAGAACAACAAGTGAGCAATGAAAGCCAATACACCGATCGGACGTCCTTAAACTGACACAGAAGGCAAAGCAAACAACTTTTTTAGTAACAGTAAGCACTCTCTCACAATGCCGAAAACACCACGCGTGCTTCGACAAGACATTTGATCAGCGAGAAAAGATGCAAACAGCAGGTGTGTGTGGCAATGCAACCTTCAAGTTCCCGCAGCAGTCACCGTGGAGCCACAGCTTTGGGTGGCGTCCACTTAGGCTTACATTATTTCTATTATCTGCTGAGGGGGAAGGGGTCAAAAAACTAAATAAACTTCCTTCCGTCCATGTGGCCAAACTGTAAAAAGTCCAATTTATTAACCAAGGACCTCGAGTGCGGATATTTTGACTGTCAGTTTAAGAATAACACTTTGACCTTACTATTGTCAGCTTTTCATAAACGTGTGATGGTTTTTTTAAACATCCCTAGAGCAAGCATTTTAAAATAATATAAAACCATCATTTGTTTCTCTTTAGTGTCCTTTTAATGTCTCGCCTTGAAATAACTCGTCTATAATTGATTGATAGGCGTGGTTTAACGTCCCGAAACCACCATATGATTATGAGAGACGCCATAGTTGAGGCCTCCGAAAATTTCGACCACTTGTGGTTCTTTAACGTGCACCCAGATTTGGGTGCACGGGCCTACAGCATTTCTGCCTCCACCGGAAATGCAGCCGCCGCAGCCAGGATTCGATCCCGCGACCTGTGGGTCAGCAGCCGGGTACCTTAACCACTAGACCACCGCGGTGGAGCAACTTGTCAGTGAGCCTTCGACGTTGACATACTTGAGCCCGTCTTGTGGTTCTGTGTACTGCCGAGTGCAGGTAAGCTTATGATGTGGGACATAACAAGCATATAACATCTGACATAACGATCGCAAGAAAGTTTTGCACAAACCTGCTCGCACGCGCACTTCCGTGCTCAGGATGGCCCCGAATATGTTTGCCGCTTTGCACCGGTATGTGGCACTGTGTGCTTCTTGACGAAACTGGGACGCTGCGAAGGCTGCGAACCGTAGCGTGCCGTTGGGAAGCAGAAGCAGGAGTCCTTGGAGTGGCTCCACTTCGACGCCTTCACGCAACCACGTGACCCTCGGCGGAGGCTGACCCGCAACGGCACAGTTGAGCGATGCCCCCGTCGTGTTGGAGAAGCGCAGCTCGGATACCTGGGGTTCCAGAAACCGAGGACCCAAGCCGTGTTGAGTGCTCCAAACAGGATATGCTGCACATGATCAAAAACAGAAAGCATGATCAGAAAACAAAAGACGGAACACTTGTTGAGATCTTCTAATAACAAATCAACTTGGATACGTACAATAACTCCCGATTCTACACCAGTACAAACAGTATTCGCGTGAATAATCCAAATTATCCAGTAATATGCGTAGAATTGTGTTTCTTTTGAGCTTGTTGGGACAGTTTTACAAACGATGTTGCAGCGTGATGGTTGGTGTTAGTTTTCCATTCAATTACCTACAATACCTATGACTATGGCCACTGGATCTCAGCTGTACTATAGCACGTGGTACTCACAAAATTAGTGAAGTCATGCGCACTCAGCGGTAACTATAAATATTTGTTTATTTATTTATGTATTTATTTATTTATTTATTTATTTATTTATTTATTTATTGATACTGTTAGCCCCAGTGGGGCCATTACAGGGTTATTGTTGGTTACATCTTACAGGGTTAATCGTGGTTACATCTGGCTCAGGAATCGCATTCTCGCTCAAACAAGCAAAACGAGTATAAACAAGTACAAGAGAATGCAGCATTGAACAAGCACGCATAGATAAAATAAAAAAAAGTCATTCGCCTTCTTTAGGTTCTATAAGTTCGGGTGTGTAAGCACTGGTAGACGCTTACAAAACTGCAGCGTGAGCGTCATTTCGTAATTTTAGCATAACATGAACATGATATCATAAATATCATAACAAACGAAACTTCGCTCAAATTCAGTGCAACTGTAATACGCACGACCAACCTTGTTGACACGCAGCTTTGGTGCCAGTGTGGGGAAAATTATGAAACGATGGGCAGTGTTTTCTGTATGCCCACGCACTGCAAATATATGTGATCACAATGAGTGAAGAGTTCAAAGTGTTCTGTGTGTTTTATAGCCACTTCAAAGTTATAGTTAGAGTTTCGAGCTTATTGATTGCGGTAATGGGCAATACTCCACTGCGACCCTCATAGGGGACCTGATTGTGCGTTTAGAAGAAGTATTTACCGATTTAGAGTACTTAGTACTCTACTATGGGAGAGCAGAGAGCCGTCCCATGGCAACTTCCTGAATGTTTAGAAAAAGTTTATGCTATCATGGGACGCAACAAACCTAGGAAACGACCGTCTGTACAACAATCACCGTGACAAACAAATGACAAAGCACAACATACATTACACATTTAAACAAAAGTGTCCAAGTCTGTAGGGTGTCCATGGTACTAATAACTACATACACTACCTATATACACTAATCACAATATGGACTATCTGTTTAGGAAAAAGTTTATTTACACTATGTACAAAAAACAAAAGTTTCATAACATTCCAGTAATGGGCACATATACTTCGACAGATCTATGCACCACGACCAACATCACTACGTTGAAAGACATCATTGCTCTAATAAACATGACAATGTTGGCATACGTGTACACAAGAATTCATGCGATATCATGATACAGTGAACGGTATAACGATACAATAGATTCAATGAAACACAATCGCTTATAAACAAAATTATGAATAACTACTAAACGGGCGCTGCTTAGCACCACGTCGGTAAAAAAATGAGTTTTACCCTTTCGTGTTCAACATTGATGAAAGGGCACGACCAATGCCGTAGAAACTTGTGCTACCCGAAGAAGAAAAGCTCCTCAGAGATGCACGTGAGGATCTCTCGTCTCATTCTCCCCACTATTGGCCACAACGCACGCCGGCGGCGATGGGCAGCGACGGCCTCACATCGGTTTCGTCAGAGGCTGAACAGCCCCGCAACTATTAAAAGAGCGAAGAAGCGGCCGCGCGGAACTGGCCGTGGGACACGAAAGTTCGCACACCCTGTCCCCATAAACAAGGGCGAACCACACGTCGAAAAAGGCGGGAGACCACACATTCAATCGCGGCATGTCGATTGGTCTCGACCATGACACAGTTGGGGCAAGTGGAAGTGCGAACCACCTGCCATCGCTTGCAACCGATCTCGCGTGGGGAGCCAGCCCCATGCCCAGCCGCCAGACAAAGTCTCTGAGATTCCCTGGCAACGCTGCTGCAGTTATTGGTTTCCAAGCGCGGCTCATTATAGATTGACGATGTTGGGGCACCAAGGGCCGCAGAAGGGCGACCTTGAGCCACATTTTTTTGAACGTCCGGCTCACCTTAGGTACCTTATGTATTATCGCCTGCACACCCCATGGTGGCCGCCATGACTATGCTGTTAACTAGGCTTAAATCAGCCAGTAGGCTGTAATTTGGGAGTTAGGGTAGACGGCATCATTTGTTGAAAGAAGGAACAAATAAGAACTGAATTTGATAATTATTATAAATTCCAGGCCACAGGACTGCGATCTAATGCGTTACTCGTGTGTTCTCATTACAGTTGCTTGGACTACCGAACTAGAGTATTAACGCGATAGCGGTAGCCAACTCGTGTCGCAGAAATTCCGCCGTCGGCGTCGGCACCATTGGTTGCGAGCGGAAAATTGTCCGTGAGTGAAATATCGACAAAGGAGCAAATAAAATAAAATCAAAATTTTTGGTCCCATTGAGGACTGAATCCGGGCCGTTCACGTGGCAAGCAGGAGTCCTACCATAAAGCCACGATGTTACTTGCAGTTCACTTGAAAAAAAAAAAAAGAACACTACATAAATGCCATGTGTTGGTAAAGGTCTCCTTAACGCATTTTGTTCGACAGCTGTCACGACTAAAACGAGCTCATTCGATGATCTGTATAGGCGCATTTGGGAGGCCATCAAACTACGTGATGTAGAAAAAGGCCGGCATAGTGCAGCCTTCGCCGCTAGAACACTCAGAAACTTTGAAACAGCTCTAAAAATGGCCAACTATATCCATCTCACGGAAAATATATCATGCGTTTCCAAAGGCATTGATAGAGCAAATAGGAAACGCTAGACAATGTGCTGCCATTTGTGAGGAATCGTGAGACTCTTTATGGCCTCCGAGATCGCAAGGGTGTGGCGTGTATCTTGTAGGCCATTCGACTCTTGCTTTAGATCAAAAACCTGTATGCACAATTAGTGCGCGCGCGCTGGCACAATCTACTGTGTGCGTGTTTGTATGTGTGCTTGCGTGTGTGTGTGTGCGCGCGTGTGTGTGTATGTAAGAAAACATATAAATAAGAATGAACTTAGTGGTTGAAGGGCGCACCTGGGGCTGGGTTCCGCTATCGCGTTCAAATCTTGAAGACGAAGCTTAAGGGTCCCTCCAATTTATTTCTGGCCACGCTTCGGAAAAGTGTTGCAGGGCCCCATTAAAGCAATCTGTAGAGTACAAAGCAATGATATGTTCGGTGACTGAGCTGACTTGGTTCTAGCACCGTGCGTTCTTGTTATATTACCCGGTATTATTTTTCGTGCTATGACAGGCAGCCTGTTACAAAAAGTGAGCAACAATTTCACCACAAGGGTGAAGCAATGAAGGTGATAGAAACAAACTGTATTGTAATATACGAAGTGACACTGACAGCTAATTTTTATGAACCCAATCTCACGCAACTCTTCAAAACACTGACGAATGAGATCACGGCAACTCTAAGGGCTCTTTCCGCAGAGTCTGTTTTCGTTGAGAGAGCAGCACGTCGAAGGGTATACAAGCGAGCTGTCTGCGGGTGGATGCTAAGATAGTGACGCACCGCACTTGTCACTGATGACGACCACGCCCGGTAAGACCAAGGTTACAGAAAGATATAGAAAAAATTTAATTCTTCCAATTCTATGAAGTTGTTTGTACGTAGTCGCTGAGAAAGAAGCATAGAACTTGATATCTGTAGCACGTGCAAGTGGGCAAAACCACGATTGATTTTTTTTATATTAACATGCGCTCAATATTTTCTTTAGTAGTAGCGACGTAGTTAGCATTCACTTTAACTTAGAGTATATAAAATTGACAACAAGCATCATCATTATAGGCACAACCCATGTGTGCATTGAAGTATTACTCTTACCAATCCGTTGGGCTGTTCTCTGTGCATTTTTTTCATTTTTTATTGTGAAAGATTGATAAAGTATTATTACTTTAAATAAAGGCGATGAGTTAGTGGCGAACCACACAACAAACCCAAACAACAATTTCGACTTCGCCTTCGCACCATATGCCTTTCCAAGTAGTGGAGGCAAAAATGCTGCAGGTCCATGAGCTCAGATTTGGGCGCACGTTAAAAAATCCAACGTGGTCAAAATTTCCGGAGTCCTCCACTGCAGCGTCTCTCATAATCATATGGTGGTTTCGGGGCATTAAACACTACATATCAATCAATCGTCCCTTCAGGGTATATTCAACAACACCCTGTTACCGTCAGTGAAAACCAGGCACCAACATGTGTGAAAGGACAATATATGGTGTGAAACGAATTATTAACTTTCAGTTTAATGCCACGTGGCCTCCCCATCAAGTATGCAAGTCAAACCACTCCGACACTCGACTGAATTTTCAATTCTCTAATGACTCTGCCAGCCATCAGCAAACACTCGAGTGTAAGGTGTCTGACGTGAAAATAGCAGGGCGCGCCCGCGAACTTTTGAGGAGTGCCGACTCAAAACGTGAGAGAGCTAAATAATCAAGCTTACAGAAGTACACAGTAGTAGCGCGTATTTGCGTTCTAAATATTGGACAGCCATGCACGGCGTCGTAAATACAAACGAACGAAGCCGAAAAGAGCGGCTGCGTCATTGAAGAGCACGGAGAGGGCGGGGTGTCGACAAATGCAATATCGGGCGGGTAATTTAGAAACGTCCCATGCTTAGAGAGAGCCTCGGGGAATGGCTTGTTTCGATGCGGGGACACTGCTCCCACTGTAGCCTGGCGGTGAAGGGGGCCCCGTTACGCTTGCCTGCCATAATGACAATAAAATAAAACAAAACGAACGGGGGCAGGGCAGTATATTGAGTCTTTCCGCGTCCGATGCAGGAGCGCACATAAATCGGACGTAGCACCGCTGCCGACCCTTGCTTATACAAATGAAATTAATGGTCTCCTTCCAGCGTCATTCAATGAAAAATACGCTTTCTCTTCGACTCTGCCCTCTGTACAACGAAAATCGCATTAATAACAACATACTTGCCGTGCATTGGAAAAAAAAAAAAGAATGGCAGGCGACTTTAAGCAAAGAGCACAAGTCTCGCAACACATGGTGGAAAGTAAGAACGAAGTGAATCGGGACAATGTTACGTGTTTAAAGACTTATGTGGGCGGCTGACAGAGGGGCGGTGTCGGAGGAACGCGATTTCTAATGAGACGCTTTTGTATGCGTTTCTATAATTGTCTCTCTTCCACTCATACAGAGCTCGAGGTCATGGAAAATAACGTGATCAAGAGTGGAGGCAGCCTGCCCTGTGTGTGAGTGGACACAATCCAGTACGGTACCACAGCATTATCAGCAGCTGGCGCACATGTCAAGCTGGAGGAAATAGGCAGGGGTAGGGCAAGAGCAAGTACATAGAATACGAGGGAAAGATGAAATATTATAGAATTTTGGCGTGTATCAAATAGCTAAAGACGGGCAGAAACAGCGCTGGACATCGTACTGGGAAAGAACGATATACCGGGCGTGTCCAGCGCTGCTTCTTCGCGAGTTAGTCGTTTACCATCCAGCCAAATAAGAAAGAGTCCTGAAGTTTATTTGTATAACTTGCACGCAAAGGCGCGGA